ATCCTCAAACTGAAGGTCAGCTGGCACACGAGTGCCTAAGGAATCTGCAGGGACAATGAGGAGAACACGAATCAAGGTCTCTGAAAGAGTAAGAGCCAATGCCACAGAACCCACAGAGATGCGCTCTGGCTAAGACCATGGACGTGCTCACGCTGTTAAATTGTCAAGTGCAAGAGAGTTCTTTAGCAGACTTTTTGAGCCCAGTTTACCAAACTTTTTGTGCTTCTGCAGACTTCACGTGAGGGAAAGACGCACAGTTCACAGCATTTTGAGGCAAACATGGGGTTAGTGTATTATAAAACAGTAAACAAACAGCCATGGGTGGAGCAACGGAACCCCAAGACTTCATGAAATCAGAGAGATGCATGGTATAGAAGTCAGTGCTGACCCGTTCCTATGGATGCCATTATCAAACCCTCATTAACCCACACAGGTGACATGTTTGGGACTTAGGGTGGTGAGTGGGATTAGATTCGATTAAGGTGACTGCAGAGTCTTCTGACCTGCTCCTAGAGGACTTCCTGGCTGGGCTCTGAGCAAGAGTAGCTTAGACACTGTTTGGGTTTTCACCATCCCTGTAGTCCTGGACCATGTCATCATGGATACAGCCTCAGTACAGTTAACCTCTTCCATTACAGAGCCATGGCGCTGAGCACACTGTAGCTCCAAATGCACTGACTAGCAAAAAAGAACAAAAAGACAAAGAAGAAACAAACTCATTATCATTAGAATATGACTCAAATCCACACTTTAATATATGTTCTAATTCAGGTGTGCAGAGGACTAGCACCATCACTCCTTTTTGTGCCTTTTCCTTAGAAGTATTCATTCCAAATTACAGGAATTACACCATAAAATAACCACCATGTGCATGTTTATTCCCAACTTTGTCAGTCACTAATTAATGACATATCAACATTTCCAAACACTGTTGAGAAAGATCCCTAATCTTACTGTGTCTTCACTCAGAGCAACTGAATGAGGCCAGAAGTTTGCCAGCCTGGACTGATGGCACTGTTTTAGATCCCTGGTCTTTAGCAGTATGAGTCCTCGCCTCTCGTACCTGCTGATGCAGGTGCCGTACACATCCGTCTGAGGGAAAGAAAGAGTGAAAGAAAGTTAAATACCCCTGGGAAGAATTTCTTCATATACATGCATCTTTAGGAAATGAATGGAAACAAATTCCGTTTCCACTAACCCACCTCATTTTCTAATGTCAGTTTGGAAGCCATGGGGGACGTCTGGAACATGCTCAGTAGAGCCCTTTTAATGTTCAGAGCCCACACCTGCTCCCCCTCCTGCAGACAGAGGGCCGTGACCTTCCCCCTCTGGAGGGAGAACTTGAGGCGTGTTCTCTCCAGTGACTCCCTGGGAAACAAAAACACCAGATGAGGCCCCCATAAGACTGGGGAACACAGACAAGTGGAGCATCTGAACTGAGAATCAGATTCACAGGAAAAACATCTGCAGCATTCCAAAATGAGCGGACAGAATGGCATACACACACATGCAAAAGGAAACAGAAGAGAAGGAATTCTGCACTCATTCACTCGCTATCATCTGTGAAAACACACCGGACTGTATTAAATCTATACATTGGCTTTACCTCAGACTTTTTAAATGCTGCACAGAGTGCTCCTTTTGAGGGGAAAGCCGTTTTATCTGCGGATTCCTTATCTGTAGAGATCAAACATGCACATCAAATATCAGATTTTTTTTATTTAATAATGCGTTTTTATTGTTGTTGCGTTGCAAAAACTATTTTATTAAAGCTGACCTGCATCATTAGGTGACACTTGGAGACCACGTCAATATCAACCAGACAGTCCAAAGCCAGACCATTCCTGCCACCAGTGGAGCCGTGAAGGGTGCTGGTAATTGTCGTGCTATACCTGTAAGTGTATCTCACCCCTTTCTGATAGAGTAATTCAGAGGTAGGAAATCCTAGTGAAAATAATTTAGCAAATAAAACACAATTAAAAATTTGAAAAGGAAAAAAAACCCTCCTTGTCAGTGTGCATGCATCCATAAATCTGAGATCCATTAGAGTAAGTAACAAAGATCTTACCAGAACAACTTAAATCACAGAGATTTGGTTTCCCCTGTAGGCAATCACCTACTGAAAAGGAAAAAAAAACAACTCAGGAATATCGACAGAACATTACAGCCCTTGTCAAACTTCTATACATAACATCTACTACAGCCGAACCCTGTTTCGACTGGAAAATGAATTCACTCTTCAAGAACTAATATAACAAAGCAAACCATAAAACTTACCATGTAGCAGGAGAAAAATAAGTACACCATTGAAGAGTAACAACAATACTGCCATAGCAACCCACTACAGGTCTGGCTGCCTCCGATCCTCCACATATGAGTGAGATGAAAACCAAGCACTGTTCACAGCCACTGAATGACCAGGCTTGTACATGGGCTTCCTCTGTGACCCATACTGCTCACAGCAACCAATCAGGAAATACCTTCCAAGACTGAAGCTACAAACATTCACTGAGCCAATCACTTGACAGAACACCGGGCCTCGCAAAACATCAAGTTTTCTTACACCCTTGTTGACTTGGACAGACATAAGACATGAACCACGTAAGGAGAGAATTTCTTTGCAAAGCTGGCAGCTGCAAGGATACTGAGTTGGAGACTGGGGTGTTTGCAGGATTTTTAAAATGGGGCGGCACACAGGTAACTAAGTAAGAAATATAAATACCAAACCACTTAAAATTTGTAGGGTGTGGTTCAAAGCTCTGTATGGCATTTTTTTTTTTTTTCGAAAGCCTCTAACAAGCCTGAAAGTCAATATTTGGTGTGATCATCTTTATTTTTCAACACAGCTTTCCTGTAATTTCTATAAGTAGTCTTAAGGAATAGTCCTTCAGGCCTCTTCTTTGGATGTTGGCTGCTTTTTGTTCTGTTCTCTGTTAATGTGATCCCACATTGCTTCAATAATGTTGAGGTCCGGGCTCTGCGGAGGCCAATCCATGACTGATAGTGCGCCATTGTGTGTTTTTCTACCCAGGTATGCTTTACTGCATTGGCGGTGTTTTTGGGATCATTGTTGTGCTCAAACAGATTCCAGATTGTATACCTGACGGTACTTTCCTGTGTTAATTCCATTCTATAAATCCATCGAGTTTAGCAAGATCTCCACATCTCAGCATCACTGACCGAAATGCAGCTCAAAACCATGACAGAGCCTCCACCATGTTTTGCAGATGGCTATAGACACTCACTGTTGTAACTCTTGCCTGACCTCTGTACATATTAATGATAATTCGAACTGACATTTTCAAATTTGGATTCAACACTCCATCAGACATGTTGTCACTAATTTTCAGTCTAGTTATTTTGTGATCTGGCATATCTCAGCGTTTTTTCCTTGTTTCCAGTCCTTCAGAATGGCTTCTTTACAGCCACCCTTCCAGTGAGACCATTTCTGATGAAGCTTCAATGAACAGTGGATGGATCAACTGAAGGAGTAGTTGCATCTCTCATTTCCTGCGTCAGGCCTTTGATGGACTTTGCTATTTTTGAAGGACATGCTTTCAGATATTGTTTTTCTACTGTAGGTTTTTAGGCCTGAACACATTATGCATCCTGAGATAGGGCAAGCTTTTAGCTAATAGCTCTTTGGGAATCACCTTGTTAGTGCAAAAATACTATTTTCTGTTATCTTTGGCATTTTTCATAGATCTAACTAATGGAATGGTAACAAATTATGTTTTTGTGATAGGCTGCTACTAACAAAGTGTCAAAAGATACAATTTAAAACTGGTTCTTTGCTAAGTTGTCTGTTATGTGTACACGGAGCACGGGTTCATCCCTTGTGTTAGTTGCCTTTTCCTTGCTTGGATGATTCATAGGTCAGTGTTAAGTAGCTTTAAACAAACAAAAACATTCCTCTAAAAAATGGAAAGGTACAAGGACTGGACTGAAGATGAGTGAAAAGCAGCCACTGTCCAAAGAATAACTCTGAATGACCTTCAGGCATCCTGGAGAACTACTGCTCAAGAGAAGAAAGTCTGGCTCACTTGAAGCAAAATAAAAAGAAATGAGGGGCGGTGGAAGACTTTTGCACAGCTTGCGTAGCTACTAGTGGGAGGAGTAATCAAACTTTAGATGGGAGTGGTGCCATCCCATGCCCCCCTTTAGCCACACACATTTCTGACACATATATATCAGACAGGAGTGCTGACCTAGGAACATTACAAAGTTACTGACACAAAAAAAAAGAACTTTCAGAAGAATAATTTCCTTATACTTACACACTACTACACTAAACACTTGTTAGTGAAGTGAAAAGCTGATCCACGAACTTTTCAGAAGACAAAGAAACACAGCTGAGAGTAGTTAGCGCATGAAAATAGGGACATCTAGTGTTTGTGTGGTATGGATAACAAGCAGGTGGGGAAGTAGAGGCTTTAGCAGCTATGGTGGCGTTTTTACAGAATAATTTTCACCCCTGCCACTCGGCCACGTTCCTTATTCTCAGACTGAGCTCAAACTAAATTACACAACACGCCTTTCATCCCCATCTCCTTCCCCCATCGTTTAACAGGCAGGCTTCCAGTGCCACCTACTTTCCACGATGCACCCAACCCCGCGGTCCACGCCCGTGCTGCGACGTCAGTCACTGCGAGATTCTGGTCCGCGCGGCATTCAAGACTCTGAAAAATCGTATTGTACAACTTCCTGTTAAAAAAAAATAGACATTAACCGCCTTTTGCCGCAAATTTCAGGCATGACTTTGCACAACTATTTAGCTTGTTACCTTTATAGCCATAAGTATGATTTAGCGTTTAAAGAAATGACACGTTCACAGGTGTACCTAAACGATGATATCTTCAAATTATGTCAGTTTTTATCTTCAGTACATGGGTGAGTTTGCCATATCTGTTAAATGACACGCATGTGGGTATGTGTAACAACAAAATCAGAGAATTATCCAGAGCTTTGTAGACATTTGTACCAGTGTACGCCACCAAAAAGCGTTCACCGATGAGCCTGAACGCGTCGTCAGTCCGGGACCAGGGGGCGTAGGTTTGACCGGCTTCTGGGAGGCTCAGACACAATGAACCGTCAGACAGTGAGGGGCACGCATGTTGGACCGGGAGAATTAGCACGGTCTTAGTGTGTTATTTCATGTAAACGTGCCGTTTCTTTGTTTTATCCAGTGATTCTCAAGCTGCTGAGACGCTGTATGGCGGTAACAAGTCTCTGCTGGAAGCGGTTTGTTCGTCCAGTTTGATGAAAACGAGGTCGGGATCAGACGAACGTTACCGTTAGCCCCTCCTGGTCGATTGTTTTTTAACTCTTTTTTAAGCTAAATACAACAAAGCAAAGTAGATAACGATGTCGCTGATTGCGTCGTCTGATTATTTCGCTGCCGAGTGTCTGGTATCGATATCTAGCGGTCCTGTTCTACACAGACCCACCCCGGTCGCCCCCGCCAACCAGCCTGCCTCGGTGGGCCTGCTCCCCGGGGAGCCCGAAGGGTCGAGTGAGGACAGGGAAGTGCGGGACACGCTGAGGCTGGAGGGAGCTAACGTGGTGGCGGTGGCCGGTATCCTCACCGACCTACACGGCAAGTTCCGCCCGATGTCGGCCTATTCGGAGAACAGCAACTCCTCGTGTGGTGGGGAGAGCGGCTACACCACGTTGTCCGACCCGACCACCCCTACCATGACCCCCACCGCCACCCCGGTCCCCGGACAGCAGCACCAGCAGCGGGCCGGGGGAGCAGGAGGAGGGCTGAAGCGACACCGGTGCACTTTTAACGGATGCGACAGAGTTTATGGGAAATCTTCCCACCTGAAGGCACACATCCGGACGCACACAGGTATGGAGGGGAACGACCACAACACATCGGTCATATCAGTAGTTCACATGTCATGTATTTACACAGCCTTAGCTAGACCCTTGGGATAGCTCAACTTTGTACCCCCAACTTCTGCTTTCCTCGGTGCCATGCAAGCAGACGGTTTTATCGTTTAATCAGACCTATATGAGGGGTGGGCGTGCTGTGCCTTTCACTAACTACTGTAAGCGTGCTCGCTGGCTGCTTCTTTATGATTTTTTATTTTCTTTTTACAACTTGTTAAAGTAATTTAGCCAAACAAAGGGGGAAACGCTCCCCTCGGAGTCTGACAAAGAAGTAAACCAACAAAAGAACTGGGCTGGACGTTAAAACCTGTGACGAAAGTCTTCCTCTCGGCTGGATTTGCATATGAAATGAACGTAAGACGAAACCTTAAAGTTGAAAGCGCTGAAAATGATAGTGGGACAACGTAAAAGGCCTCAGCAAGTGCTTGGCGCTGTGTAGTTTTTCTCTGGGCATCACACTCTCGCCCTCACGCATGCTGACAAGTTGAAATCAATCCTCCGCGATGTGTAAATTATTGATCAAATGTATTGATATCCAGTTCTGGATGCGCCACCCCTTTGCCATATATAGGGCTTTCAACGCATTTTGGGGTGTTTTCTGCTGAATACGTAATTACATGTCACCATATACCTCACCCATGTGTTTTAACTATGTAATAAAGGCAGATTGGTTGTGAATAGTTTATCCGTCAGAACGATAGCGTAACTTTACTAGTGACTTTAAGTGTGATTTTTCTCGCAAATCAGGGGATTTGGCGTGTCCAGTGTCACTGAGCAGGCGCAAATGGATTAAGGGCAGGAAACGGCTCAAAGACGGTGTCGTGGGAACGCCCACAGAGTTCTGCAGCAACAACGTGGCCAGGCTTTGTGATCTTGCAAATGGCACCGAGCATCCCACTCGCTTATCCTGGGTTTGACTCGTGTTGCCTGCCAGAGATTAAGCCTAGTAGTAGCCCAGGAAGGCTAATCTTAGCCATCTAGATCCTATATCTTTTTTTTTCACGTATTTAAATATACGTGAAAAGTGGTAATGCAGGTGTTACATTTGTGTCACTGTGTTTAAATTGATCTGATTTAAGTAATCAGATTAACAGATTCCTTCATTGTGCAATAACACAAACTGTAAGCATACAAAACCTGTTTTTCCCTTCCTAGTTCATTTGAAAGCACAGAATAATGTGGGCTTCAACTGCGACTTATATCTGAGGACTACACAAAAGATATGAAGAATCAGTTTGATGTGATGTATTAGAGGCCAAATAAAGCACACGTGCGAACTGAAATGACACGAAAGTGAATTAATCCAAAACAGTCCATGAGTTTAAATTTTGTCAGCTTTTACTTTGACATTTTCAATCCATACTTTATGGTTATGGTTTTACCTTTTCACATGTCAACATTTGTTGTTTTTTTATACATTATTGAATAATGTGGAGGTTTAATGACCCGAGGCTGTGGGGCATTTTTGGCAGCAGGAACTCTTCACTTTTTCTGACGTTTTATTTCATAGTTAGGCTGTTAGTTGCAGAAATTTGCACCTTAACCAATCATAGATCAACGATCAGTGAAAATAATTTTGGTTTCCTTTTATGTATGCAGTTGTTTATTGTAAAACCGATTCTCGTCACAGAGAAGGGAGTAGCATTTCTGTTCCCGTGTGTTTGTCTGTTTAGTCATGAAACACCGTCTTGTGTGCTTTCTCTGCAAACCTGGCGACTGATTTCTCTCTGCTCTCTGTTGCCTTCGTGTCCAGGTGAGAGGCCCTTCCCGTGCGTCTGGCCTAACTGTGTGAAGAAGTTTGCCCGCTCCGATGAGCTCGCCCGCCACACTCGCACCCACACAGGGGAAAAGCGCTTCCAGTGCCCGCTGTGCAACAAGCGCTTCATGCGCAGCGACCACCTGATCAAGCACGCCCGCCGTCATCCCGACTTCAAGCCATCCATGTTGGGGCGCAACAGGGGCGCGTCCTCGGCTTCTGATCCGGACGTGCACAATTAGGGTGGCGTGGGTTTGCTGTGCACTGGCATTGACGGGAGCACAAGACGGTCAACCTTAGTTCAAGTGAACCGACTACAATCAGATCCACTAGTTAGGACTTAGCATTGCTGTGTTGCACTAAAAACAAATGTGCACGTACACACAAACATACACACGCGGCGCTGGATGCGTCTCTGTGTCCACACAGTTGAGTCACATGAACACTGTCCACCCACTCAACAACAACCAGGGTTGGGTTTGAAAATTGTTACGAACCTAAGAGAACCGGGGACTCGTTAAGAAATGCGGCTTTTGGTTCCACTTGTCGTTTCCTGAAAGCAAGACTTTGGACCTATTGTGCTTCCATTTGCATCGGCAGTTACATGAGCATGTGTGTGTGATGTTTACAGTATGGCAGACTAGGCTAAGCCTCAGAAAACCCAATAATGATAGAGTGAAATGTAATCACTGCAGTTAAGGAAAGTTAGAGGCATGAAGGTAGACTTACTGCAGGATGATCTGAGAATGTAGTTTTTACTGTCCTGCATCAGTAGCAGTGATATTAGACCACAAAAGAGTTTTGTGGATGAGATCCCAAGAATTTAATGCCAGGTAAATCACATAAGAGTTGCAAAAGTCCCAGCAGGCCTTGGAAAAGTACTAAACGGTGTTTTGCAACATAGCCCGCTGAAATAAAAATCAGTACGTTTTAACTGCCATAGAAGTGAAACACACACAGCTAGCACAAATATTGTATTTCGTTTAAACCAAAAAAATCAAATCAAGAATACCTCGTTGTGGATAACCACCTGATGGCAGCATACGTTTATCACAGGAATTCTTTTTTCTGCCTTTCGTAAAATTTTGATCTCAGGATTCGATAAGAACGAGAATCACGAAGCAGATTTCAGTCGATTAAAATCAAACCCAACCCTGAAGGTAACGTCATCGTCTCAAACTGAAACACTTTCACAGATTGCAGGGATTTCTTTTTCATATTGTCTGTACAAATCTGCACATTCATCATCATCATCAGCCAAATAATCCTCTCTGGTTTTCTTGTGGTTCATTTCTACCTTGTCAGTAACCTTTATTTACCATGAGTAGCACAATATTGGGATATTAGATAGCGAGGCGATGGATAGACGCTTTTTAAAAATCTTTTTGTTTGTTTGTAGCTTTGCTGATATTAAGTTATAGCGGTGACACATTCCTTCATGTTTTTTTAATACTGCTTCAGTAACCATCTCCGTTGAAGTCAATATTTTTTCACATATATCCAGTTCAAGTGTAGATCAAATACTCATTTTAGCCTGAAAGTGGATCGAATTTCAATGTAGAAGAGTTGTTTGCACGCCATCATTAAGGCTCCACCAGTTATCATCAATGAAATGCTGACACATAATACACAGCAGTATTATGTCTAAACCTGATGCAAATGTATATAAGCTTTAAGCTTTTAATGTAGAAAAAAAATGGTAATGCTACTAGCAGGAGAAATAATACACGTGATGAATTGTAGTCCTTATATTAGGGGTAACATACAGTACGTATGCTTGATAGAATGGCATTGCCTGTGAGTGTTGGTGTGTGCAGTTTATTTAGATTTACCTTTTTTTTTTTTGTAGTGACAGAAATGAGAAATGTTTTGTATGCAAGTTGATTTTTAATTTTGTTTTTTCGTTTTGTTTTTAAGCCTGCTGCCTTCAAAGTAAAAGCATTCACTTCCTCATCGAGGGTTTGGAGAAAGATGACAAAATATAGACACGTGCCAGTTATTTCTTTTAACAGCAGATAAATCAGTCTTATGAGTAGCATCGGGATAGGGGGGGCAAAATCTTACTGTAACTGATTATGTGGAAACCAAAAACAAATTCTGAGAAGATTAGATCAGTGGAACGTTTTTTTTTTCCTCATCTACACAGTATAGATGTGGGCTGTGCAGTCGTGTCACTGAAGCAGCCATCAATAATACTTGGGGATGCACTGATTGTGAAATTCCAGGTCGGTTCCAATGTCGGAAAAACAAAAAATTTCCCCGATATCCAAGCTCGTGTGTTTAGTTTTTGTTGTTGTTTATTAACTCTTTTATGCCCTGGAAACAAAGTAGATCCCAGTTAATTTGACACAACAGATAACGATCGGTAGATTCAGTCTTATATCAGTCATCGGCCAGTCACAGTTTTTGCTTGTATATCAGTGCATCCCTGATGATAAAAGTTCCACCTGTGTTTGATTTGAATAGTGATACACAAATGTCGATTTGATTGGAACCTGTTCGGTAGATTTAGGGATGCTGGCACCTAAATCTATATGAAATGATCAGATTTCAGGAATGAACCCATCCAAAATATTAGATCCACCATTTACCAAATCAGTCGAACCTGTAATGTATTTTATGTACTTATGACCCACTTGTAGTGTCCAGGTCTGAATAGAGAGTGTGTGTGTGCGTGTGTTATTTCTTTTTTTAATATTTCCACTGTTTGTCCCGCTTATGGACATATTCCTTTAACTCAGTGAACACTTCTTCAGGAAACTTTGAAAGCCTTAAACTATGTCATAACTACTTTGCACCATGTTTACAGTTGGATCATTGTATAGGTATGTGTGCCCTCTTGCAGGCGCATAACAGAAACTCATTATGCAATAAGCACTTTTTTCTCACAGGTATATTTTGCTGGATAGTATAATGGCTTGCACTGTTACTGTGTTACTCCAAGTGGGCACTGTGGAACTTTGTGTTGATAACCAGTGGTTTTTAAAAAGACAAAACAAAAAAACCTGCCTTTTCCTTTCCTTATCTTTGTGTTTTCTCAGTCATCCAGGCCATCTCTTTTGTTGTGTAATGTGTCTAGATGGGATTGGCTTCCCCAGATCTGTTTCGCTTTCCTCCACATTAAGATCGGCGCGATTGTCTCGCTGATTCGTGTCACGCCGTCTTCGTTTTCCCGTCGATTTCATTTTAATTGGAGCCGTTTTCTTTGAAGTGAATGCCGAGCTTTTGAAAGTTTTCGGTTGCTGCTGGCAGTGACCTTGAACGAGTGGACTGTTTATCAGAGGAGCAAACGCGTCTGATATAGACTCTCAAGCTATATTGTCACAAGAAGAACATACCTCACAGTCAAAACAGTTGTTTTTGTTTCTGCAGTGTCTGTGTAAAATCCATCCAACCAGTCTTTCAGAAATTCCTATAAAACCATCGAGCCTTGGATTTTTAAGAAAAGAGTTGTTTTTATCAGCCAGATGGCCTGTTACGTACCCTCGTCCTTACTGACTCAATATGCAACCCCTTTACTACTTGTGTAGCTGCTTCTTCTTTTCCTCAGTGACCTGTTGTTGTGAATAGACAGTAGCAGTTTAATCTCCACAGTCATTAAAGCTCAGATCTACAAAGGGTTAAACTTCACTACTCGCTGGAGCAGAAGTTGAAAAAGGGGGCAATTAAATACAAAGTAAGAATATTTGCAGACTGTCATTTCACTGAGAATGATGATTGAATATGTTCAATCCAAAATCTGTTTGCTCACATCACTGAATGTGGCTTGGAGTTGAGTCCATTTCGGATTGAATTTTTGCCGCGCCGCCTCACCAAGAGCTGGGGACAAAAAGGCATTTTCTTTTTCTTTTTTTCTTGTCACCACACTATCTCAGATATGCACATTGTACAGAAATGGATGTTCTTCTTCTTTTCTTTTTTTTTTTTAAAATTGATGCTAATTTTTACATTAATGTAATTTTTTAAAAAAGTCCTCTTATCAAAGCTTTAGTTAAGGTAAATGGGAGGAACCGTGGAACTAAATAATTGCTGCAGCAAGCTGTTTTGATATTTATATTCTCAGGTGTCTTAAATTTTCGGCATTGGAGTTTCAATATTTCCTGTGCGACACAGAAGTACAAAGCATGGTTTTGTTTCTTATGTTATGCTGATTAATTTATTACATATCGAAAAACTTATATGGTTTGTGTGGTTTAATTATTCTTTTCATAACTCATTTTGTGATATGGAACAGTACTAATATTAAATGTTTCCAATGTTTGCTTGACCTGTGCTATTTTTAAGAAATAAAAATTCTTAAGTTCATCTCTTATTTGTGCATTTTTTTCATCTGTCTAATGAAGACGGTGTAAATTATATAAATAACTTAGCAATACTGTATCGTATGCTACAAGTGATAACTGTTAGCTATTGCATATTAACAATAATAATGGATTGCATTTATATAGCGCTTTCGAGACCCTCAAAGCGCTTTACAATTCCACTATTCATTCACTCTCACATTCACACACTGGTGGATTAGTTAGTGTGAATTATTAGTAGCCCATTGGTTGTATTATATAGTGCTTATTCTGTATGACCAGTAGTTTGCCATTATTTGAGATCTAAATCAGCTTCCTAATTATTCGTTGTTGATAGTAAATA